GCGGCTGCTCAGCTCGGGCTGGACTCGAACCGCTGTTGCTCAGAGCTCAAACTCTTGAGTGAGCTCTTAACCAACTGAGCCACTCGGCCGGCCCTGCGTAGGTTGCTTTTTCTCAGCACACCTGAAATAACTTCTATTAATGCTATCATAGCCCACTTTTTCAATTCTCTGAAGCATCTATTTTATTTCCACTTCTAGAAGGTCACAGATTCCTGAGTTAAATGTGCTGTTGGGATAGCTTTCTTAATTGATAGTGGTATCACTACCTATAAGTTTGTAGGACACTATGATAATGGAAGTGACTACCTATCCTGGGGCACTGCTCCTTCCAGGATTTGGGAGGCTATACAAGGTAATTATTCACTTGAGGGATCAGAGTGAATGTGGGAGTCTGGAGGCAAGGACTAACTCCTCAGCCTTTCCTCCTGGACCCTCCCAACCCCCTTTTCTCCTTTCTAGATTTACACTTAAGTTTCTCCTCCCTTACTCTTCCTTTACCCTGCAAAGGACCACCACCCCTTTTGATCCCTTCCAGTTCTTTTTCCATCACTTCCCGCTTTACCTTTCATAAAAAAGCTCACTCTCATCTTCTGAGTGGTATTTTGGTTTTCATTGATTAAACACTTGGAGTTGAGTTTTGACTACTAAATATTTGTAATCATTTGTTTTTTAATCAATTGAGAAATAGTGGCACTAAACATTGCTTCCTTTTTACAGGATGGAGTCCTGGTGGATGAATTCGGATTGCCACAGATCCCTGCTTCATAGACTTCCATCATTCAAGTACATCGTGTAAAATAAACACATATCTTGGGACTAGGATTTTTATCTTTGCAAATTTACCATAACAGATTAAGGTTTCTTTCCTTCCTTTGAAGGAAAAGTTAGCTACATTGTTCTTTTATTTTTTTTTTTTGTTGTTAAGAGACTTCATTGTTCCGGGGATGCTTTCTTCATACTAAATTTTTATTCCTTTTCTCTTATGCAAGACTAACTTACTTAAAAGTATCAGTGGGTATATATGCTTTCACTCCTTAATAATAATTTGAGATAAACCCAACGAAGTGGGAATCTTTAAATTTTATGGTAATATAACTCCACAATTTCAAATTGACCTGATAAATTGATAAGGCAAAGATGAGATTACTGAGACTGTTCATATTATGATTGAAAACCATTTTCTATTGTGGTATTATAGGTTGGTTAAAGTGTTGGCATTTTTTGATGAGCTTTGCTGTGTCTTGTGAGTAAATCATTACTGTGTCCAATATTGGAATGGAGTTATCACTATGTCGTGAGTGGACATTTTGATTCTATGGTTCTCTCAGTATTACAGCTTGACTTGTAATCAATAATGAATATTTCTTGATATTTAATGTATAGGACATTTATTTATACTCAATAAATATTTTTCAAAAGGATATAATTTTAATATCACTTCAGTCTAAAACCTCTACTGCAGAAACCAAATTTAATATAATTTTAATGTTGATTCAGCCTAAAAATTGCACTGCAGAAATCTGTTTACCCAGTGGCATTGTGGTATAGAGGAAAGAGCAAGGAACAACCAGGCTTGGGCCCTGGGCCTGCCATTTAATAACTACTAAGTAGTCTCACTTCTCTAAACTTCTATTTCCTTATTAGTAAAATCACGCTTACCTCATAAGGCTCTTGTGAGGAATAATTAAGGTAATTGTCTTGAGTAGTTTGTGAACTGCAGCGTGCTATTCTCATATGAGGGATTATTAACAAAAAACCACTGGAGTTTCATTCTTTTCTTGGGAGATGCCTGGAGTGCTCCAGCAAGTCCAAATTCCTGCTTGATTTCAGGGTCTTGAATGATCGATCCTCCCAGCCTCACAAAACCTCACCAACAGCATTCCGTTCTCCATCTTTGCTGGGTGCCTCACAATGCCACATGCACCAGCCTTTCATGTATCAGCAAGTCAATCCCATAATCATTTATTGAACCTACTCTGTAGCATCTGCATACCAACCCAGAGGATTTCAAGAACAATCACAGTTCCTCTTTTCCAAACCACTGTCTAGTTATAGGCGGGGATGACATACACGTGTAACCTTCTCTCACCCCTGCTAACCTCCCCCTTTCAAGAAGCCTTCCAGTGGGAGCGAATATTACGTTCTTGAAACCTTCCTTGGCTTTTGTACAAGTTCTCACTCAGCCCTTTATATATTTCTTCCATTATATTGGGCTGTCAAAAAAGTCATGACGTATGTTTCTATGTTTTTCATTGCAAAAATGCGTCATGACTTTTCCAATAACCCAATAATTCCAATCTTGGACTTCTTCTCACCCTTTTATACTCTCCTTCAAGATATCTCACACCCGTGATTTTAACTATTACCTATGCTCTAATGACTCAAAATAACTTAGACCTCTTTCTAATGACTCAAAATAGCCTAGACCTCTTCCCTTATTCTTATTTTCAATTCTGGCATTCCTAATTAAATGTTCCACTATTACCTAAAATCTAACATGTAAATTAACCTTATCGTCTTGGAGTTTCTGTCAGCAGACATTCCTGCTTTATTTTTCATCTTGCCAATATTATCAGTGACCCATATATTGCCAGTTTTAATGGGTGATAGTCCTCCAGCTAGACCTCTTTAGGGCATTGGATATCAGTGGGTAATCATTCTACCAAAATTGCTGCTCCCTTAGCTTGTGTGATAATACCAGGTTCTCCTGTTCCTCTGACGACTCCCTCTAAGTCTCCTTTCTGAAATCTTCATCTCTCCAACCTTATAACGTTACTGTTCCTCAAGTTTGTAACCTTTATCCACCATACTTCTTTCTCTGCTCACTTATATTTAGTGATCTCAGCTATTCTCTTGACTTTACTGACTTCTAAATTTATACTTCTATCCCTGATGTCCCTAAGTGTCAGAATCCTAGTTATATCCAGCTGTTCGCTAAACAATTATTTGGATGTTCCAGAGCCCACAAACACTTCACATTCAAATGGCCAAGATAACCATTACCTTTCCAGCCTCCCTCATTGTAACCATGTGATTATTGGAAAAATACCAATTAGAGTAGCCCTACCCTTACTCTTCTGAGCTATGGGAGTTGGACTTGTGACCAAGCCATGTCCATTGAAGTTTATCCCTCAAATTTTTAAAATGGAAACTAGAGGAAATCCTCTAAAAAACAAACAAAACAAAAAACTTGTCAGTATGAGAACCCTGAGATACTGAGACCAGAGAGGAGCCAAGATGAGAGGCAGAATGAAAGCATTCTCACGGCACTGAGCCCTCACTTTGTTTTTTTTTGTTTTTTTTTTTTAGCTGAGCCATCCTGCTACCTGTTGGCAGCTCAGCGGCTGCTCAGCTTGGGCTGGACTCGAACCGCTGTTGCTCAGAGCTCAAACT